TGTTTGTCATTTGGTAAATTGTTCATTGTTTGTCATTTGGTAAATTGTTCATTGTTTGTCATTATTATTATTATAACCATATTCAATATTCATTACGTAGACACTGACTGGGAAAACTCCAGGAAGAAGYGATTTCAAGCTAAGAGAAGGAAAGACTGCATTTTCTGTTGATGTTGGTAATTCTTTTGGATTACAAGATGGACTTAGCAATACTGACARCTCACTGCTTTGGAAGGTATGTTAATTAATAAAGAAAATGATATAATTAAGTTACCYTATTGTTTTTTAATTGAATATTTAATGTTAGSAGTTTGTATGYTGAGTCTTATTTTGTGGGAAATGTTTTATTTTGAAAACATATTGATTTCACATTTTTATTAGTTTTTATGGATTTTGAGAGGATGTTATTGTCATGATATTTATGTCTATATTTAARTTCTCTAAACTCAAAAACAAAATAAATAATTAATTTTGACAGAAATGACACAGTCATGTATCCTTACCATTCAGACTTGGTGTATACACAATKAAATTAAATGCACTTTGATGACCACATTTCTCTCCAAAATTAATAAACAACGTCCTATTTAAATCCTGTACTTTGCCATTTTAATCTGCACTTTAAAAAATGATGAGTCTTGTGCGGTAAAGACATTATCTTGATAAAAATGTTTATAAATGTTTTACAAGATCAATTAAATTCAAACCGTTTCATCCCTTCAGTCAACACCAAGAGTAGATGAAGAAGCCTTGAGGGCTACCCCTGGTATTGTCTTTGCTGACAATGACAGACTYTCACCTGTTGAAGATAAGCAAGATGGTCTGCAGGTAAACATTAATGACATATTTYTTATCATCTCAATCCATGTTAACCTATTCAAACATGCAAGTAAAATTAATTATAGTGGAACTGGCTGACTTTTTATTTCATTGGAAAAACTCTTCAAGGAAACTGAACTTTAGATAAGCCAATAGATATTGAGTTAGTTTCATGGGATTATGTATGTGCACGACATCCMACTAAAAGTGGCAGTGTAAACCTGTGTTGATGCAGCCACCACTATGTACATTATTACCTGCTAATATTGTCATGAATGTTTTGAAGTTAGGCATTTTTAAAAGTTATTATTGTAATTTTCTATTTTTGTAGGTTGCTGTCGATGTCCAACAAAACAGCAAGCTTGAGCAGAGTTCTCAAGGACAGAATGGTCAAGATGATACTTTAAAAAGATTGCAAACACCAGGCGGCTCCGATGATCAAACAATTCCATTTTCAACTTGGTCGCAAAACWCTCATTCAGATTTAGCAGGGCAGGGGCATTATAACCCTTTTGAAGATGAAGGTAAATTTATTTTCAATGGMTTTTCCAACTCCTCAGGTCTACATGTCTATTTTTTTCTTTAATAATTATCCATATTACTATATGATTCAATATGTATATTAAATAAGATATTTTGCATTCATTCCCTTAAAAATTTATGTGTTAATTATTTTTTCTACTTTGCTTTTTTTTACTTTTTTACTTTTCTATTAAGTTTAACAATACATGTAATTATAATATCATTTATAAATCCAAGTATTCTTAATATTCATTTATTTATTTATTTATTCCATTTTTTCTTCAATTCATTCATTTATCCATCCATTTCGTTTCTTAACAAATCTCTCTAATTTCCATTTTCTTGATAGGATCATTTCAACAGTCAATGAATTGGAATAATAGCAAAGAGAAAAACTTCATTTCTGGAGGTAAATAGTGATGAAGCAATGCTTTACCTCAAAATTGGTAGACTGAGTGTTGTTATTTGTAACTTACAGGTGATGTTAAGGCACTTTTAGCTGCCGATGAGAAAAGCTTTGAAAAGGARCATCAGTTTGATTTCCAAGTAAGTTTAATTGTAGAAATCAAGATTATTAATTATTCATTTGATTAGTGAACTTTTTTAATACTTTTTAAAACAATTGTTTCATGGTCATTTCATTTACAAAATTTTCCAGTCCAATACAATTCAATGTATCTTTAAACATGCGAGGAGTGTTSTGTGCTAAAATATTTAATGTAGAGGATGTAGTAGTGTGAGAGCAGAGTGGTCCGCAGTAATTGGCTCAAGCTGTTGTCAGCCTCATGGACTACGAGCTAATAGCCCTTTCGGCCTCGCGGACTCGGCCACATGGGCTATTAGCTCGTAGTCCACTCGGCCTCGAGGTCTAATTGTTAAATATCATTCTCCAGGTAACTCCAACTGATGTTATCACCGGTCAAGACTGGACTACTACAAATCAAAGTAACTCTACAAGACGTTCTCAGGTCATTGGTATCAATGATCCTAACAATGAAGGGGAAGTCCGTATTTCATTTGGTGCCTTCATTGCTACAGCATCAGAAGAATTGGGAACCCTGTATGGTAGTGACCCTAATCGACCCAGAGTAAGTCAAAATGAYCTCTACTGGTCTTGTGTTAGATGAATTTAGAGTTCATCACTTTTAAGATCTCTTTATTAATAATGTTTTTTTGTTTGTTTGTTTTAGCCACATTTTGGTGATGGTACCATAACTACACCAAGCCCAAAAGCACCGTTAAGACTTGTTGAGTTAACTGAAAATGTCTTTGATCAAAACCCYGAAGACTTCTCRATGTATCAAGCATCTCCMTTCAAACAAACAAACATTTCACAAGAGCCTAAAACTGTCAAGAAAGCTACCAAAGGTCATTCAAGGAAAGGCTCACTTGAATCAGCCAAGCAAAAGGAAGAAACTGTTTCAGACACRAGGAAAAACTTTCTTGTTGAGCAACAGAAAAAACAGAGACCTGAATCAGGAAGAGAAAGAAGAGGAAGCCAAGGCAGCACACACAGTTCTCATAGCTCTGGAAGTAGAAGCAGTTCTCACAGTGTTGTAAGGAAGGACAAGAAAGAACAGGTTTCTAAGAGCAGAAAGGGAAGTTCTGAAAGTATAAAAAGTACAAAACAACGAAAGCATCAACAGAGAACACACAGGGAGCCTGATGGATGCTCATCCAAGGAAAATACTACACAACCARCTCGTATGACACAGCAAAGCTCATTRCCTAATGCACTGAAAGATAAGAACACTGGGGTAGACARTAAGAGTCTCAAGTCAACAGGGAAAAAGACATATCACAAAGATACAAAGTCTGCTCAGAGAGCAAAGTCTAAAGGACAGGACCAATATGGTATTCACAATATCTGCARCAGACATGTTCAGAGTTTTTGCTTTTTACAGCTATAACTAATTTCTTTTTTAATCTTTTTCATTTGTAAGCAATGTAGAAGCTATTTGTTGTTGTTTTTTTTTTCATTTCCTCTTAACCCACTATAAATAATTATATTTTAAATATTAATTATTATGTCAATGCTTTTAGAATAAAGTTTAGTTTATTGAATTTGTTTGTTATGCAGATGAGTCACAGCAAAGAGCTCCATCCATAAGACAACAATCCCAAACCTCAAATGAAGATTCCTCAAGTCTTTTAACAACTGGTAGTGAAAGTATAAGCTTTAAAAACCAGCAGGAATTAGCAGAGTTTATTGCCAGGGCTGTGAACGTTTCCCCTGAGCATCTTGGTCAYCTTCTACATACTGTAGCAGATGTCAAGTCAAAACAGAACCATAGCTCTAAATCTAATACACACACCACCCCTGAGAGGTCTGATACTCATRGGAGAACTGAAGAGGTCACTCTAAAGGAACTTGAAACAACATCACAAAGCCCAGAATTTGAAAAGTTGCATCACATGAAACCTATTGCATCCAGTAGTCCTCATGAAACAACACCTTTGTCACGATGCGTCACAACATTGTCTCCTATTAGAAGCTCTAATTCACCTTCTCAAAATGATACACTCTCCACATCAATTGATGCTAGTGTGTTTATTCAGGATAGYCCTGAAAATGTTTCTGTGATTGAAAGCACTACTGTATCGTCAATAGACAAAGTTACTTCACCTCCACCAAATCCATTTACCAATGCACATATTTATCCMACATTCGGCAAAACCTATACTTTGAAAGACAAGAAGACAAGTGAAGAACCAGCAAAACCAGTCCAGAAACTTRTCCTGGATGAGAAAACAATGTCAAATGACTTTCAACCTGTTGGCTTGGTGTCTATGTGTTCTGSAGGGTTAGATACAACACTGCAAGAATCACCTGAGAAATACACTGAAGGAAGGCATGACAGGTCATATGATAGYACTATGCCTACAAAACCTCCTATAGATGCTGTCRGCAGACACTCATGGCCAAAGACACYCACTGATTCACSYTWTAAACCAACTGAWACTTCACAACAAAAGTTTCCTGCAGCAGTTCCTTTACAGCAGACTGTACCAGCRCAACATAGTGAGTATTCCAGACCAATAACTATAGGAGTACCAGCTCAGAATGTCCAGAACCAGGTATTTCCTGGAATATCACCACATTTTCCTGGACAAACTGGTACATTTGGTTTTCAGCAAGGATTTGGTCCTCATTCTACTGGTCTATTACCAAATAGTGCACCACTTAGTGGCACATTCCCAATGCAGTACCAGCCTCATTCGCATAATGCTCAACCAACACCACTTGGTGCACTATTGGGACAGGTCCATAATAACATGACTCAAGGACAGTATCCTTCAAATGTGTTCCCTCAAGATGGATTCTCAGCACCAACTTATATGGGGCAACGGACCATATCTGTCAATAGCCAGCAGGCGCCTCATAGTTATGGATTTTATACTGGTAACCAACCTCCACAGTCTAATACTGTCTCATCGGGATTGGGGCCTAGACTTGCTACTGCCACACAGAGATATCAATGGCAAGCMCCAAGTRTTCAAGTAGGGGAGCAATTACACCCCTATGCCACTGCCCCGCCCATGGGACTACTTCAGCTAGGACAACCTTCTCATGTAAGCCAAACGGGAAGAACTGATTCCCAGATGCCATCTGGACCACAATCAAGACTCGCGAATTCATTGACACCTGTAGTTATCCCAGGAGAGGTGAAGCTACCACCTGTTTGCCCTGTGGGTGTGGCTACGCGTAGTGTCTTGACGCTGCATAATTCAAGCAGTAAATGGATATATTGCATGGTTAAAGTTGCATATTGCAGTGTTAATGGAGCACAGGTGGGTTATATGATGACAATGAGAACAATATGTCAGATTATAATGGTTATCTTATTGTAGAAATATATTAGAACGACATGGAATAAATATGGCATGAATATACAGTTATTGTTTGAATGATCGTATTATTTGACATACTGTGTAAATTGTAATATGCCAGTTAATGTTTATTACATGATCATGAATTTAAGATTTTTGTCAATATTTTGTGGTGCTCATTTCAGGAGTTTTTATATATTGTTCATAATTAAGAKTAAATTATATCAACAAACTAAGATTGTATCACTATTTTSCAGGTTGYCAATTCAGTAAATAACCCATTCTTTGTCCCTTCCAAACTTATCATCAACCCTCACACTACTATCCCAATAGAGGTAAGGTGGAATTCTGTGATGTACCCCTTTTACAGCTGTCATTATTAATACTGATTTTATTTCTTTTGCTCTAGGTAATATTCAAGCCCAATCTTGCYGGACTACACACAGCTCAGTTACACATAACATCGATACCAGCTGGCTCAGAAGGWCAACAGACTCATGARAGTTTACCRAGCTTAGTTGCACTGGAGGCAGTAGGAGAACACCCTGATATCGAGGTGATGATTTTTGGTGATTTAATGAAAGATGAATCGATATTTTTATTACGTTTAAGA